CCCGCCCCGCACCCGCACCGCCCCATTGCCATCTCTATACATAGCACATGGATGAAAACTGCAATTAAAATGCCGCATGTGCAATCAAGAGGGTAACTATGCTTGAATAAATAGGACAAACACATGATCTTTGTATAGCAAGTGAATATGACTTTGGATGACGATGATACATAAAAGAAGAAAACTTACATTGGGTGTCGAAAGCGCTTCGTCATAATGGTCGGTTGGACCATCAACTTGAGGAATTCTAGAAGCAGCAGCCTGGATAGACGTCACCAACTCAAGCTGAAAATTGCTGCCTTCACTATCCTGTATAGGACAAACCAGTACATCTTGTTCTTATTCTAGGTTGGAATTTTAATTTGGAAAATAGAAACATAATTCAAAAGGGTATCATGAGTTGCAGTGCAACTAATCAGACAAGTAGGACACCACTAAGCTAATCCTCTAATTTTGAAATTCCACACCAAGAGCTCTATTCTTAACAGTGCCAGCAACTCCACTCTGTTCTCCTTGTAGGAGTAAATCTTCCAAGAAATGACTCCTGATATCAACCAAGTAACCAACCTGCTTTCTCTTCCCACCCCCAACCTAACCCAAATGAGAAGCAAGGATGAAAAGCCGGAAAAGCGGAGGTTTTTACATCCATGGATATAAAACATATTTCACCTAGTATTTAAAAGTGAATGTGTGCTCGTACAAGATTGAGTATTTTTTTATAGGTAAAAGATTGGATATCATATTCTACAGAGGGTGCAAGCATGACATATAGATAATAAAATGAGCAAATGTCTTCGGTGATAGATTGCACATGTCCAATGTAAGGTGTTAAAATGGGACAAGTTAGACCTAAAATCACATGGTAAATTGTTGTTCTAAAAGACCTACAATTTTGTTGAAATCAATAGCTAAGTAAAGAACAAAATGGAAGCAACACACAGATATAGGCAATACTAATTAGTTGGAATTAAGGTTTGGTTGCTTTTTAATTAAGGTTTCGTTGTTGCTACACTCTAATTAGAGATAAGTCCGGCCCAGCATTGCATGCACCTTGACTATCTACCAGGTACCTCCTACCTCCTACCTCCCACCAGCATAGGTACCTGGTGACTCTGTCCACCAAAACTTACAGTGGAATGAATTAGGCCAGATAGAATACAATGGTTACAAAGGATACATACACCTGATCCAAGCTAGTTTGGATTTGAGGCCGAGTTGATTGATTGGAACATTTTGACGAATTCAAGACATCATAGCAACCAAGAGACAACAGAACCTCTAGAGAACAAAGCAAAGCTTGATGTGCAAAATCACAAGTTTTACCCATTCGGAGGAGCTTATATTTAAACATTTTGGGTTGTACAATGTTACATTTTTGTCCAGTTGTACCAGCCTTGAACTCTTGACTTAGTAGTGTGAAAAGACTCCCTCAACCACTATGACAAAGAACGACCGGTGGTTGTACAGTGTTACATTGTTTAACCACACAAGTACAAGTTCTTCCCGCCTACATTTAAATAACCTTGGCCCCTCTTTAATTCCCTCAGACAAATGCTCACTCCAGCTATACTTCTCATATGATCACAAGTCTTGTTTGCTTTAGTTATCCAAGAGTTAATATCATAGGTTTGAAATATAAGTAAGTATCTCATTCAGTGAATAAGCAGCCCTGCCTTCATGATGTCATATATTGAATCTGCAGCACCATCCTGTTGAGGTATGTATCCCCCATTGTTATATTGAGATGCAAAATCTTCCCTTTTCCGCTTTCCAGCAGCCGTCATAAAGAAGTCCTGCAATTTAGCTGACATCAAGACCAACTCTGAACCAAAGTTAACATGTTCTGTAGAGGCAGTATGTTACGCACAAATCCAAGGGAAAGGGCAAATTCAATGGTACAGGAAATTGACATAATACATAAAGAGACGTGTTGCTTGTGTATACATGAGGGTTGAGAATTGCTAGATTCAAATCAAGCTCGAATATTTCCTTCCCTAGCTATATACATAATACTCAATTGCATCCAACATGATGATATAAACTCAAAATTATGCAGACAAAGCATCAAACACCTACCTCCTCTTCCCCACTCTAAAGAACATAAAACATGTGTTCAATACACAGCAACATTCTGATTTAAAATTATGTATTTAGGCAGCAATGCATTTACTACCTAGCGAAATTACTAATTTTTGCTTTGAGACCAATAAAAGCAATAAAACAAGGCAGATAAATAAATTCTAACTAAAAGTTATGCAAGCCCAGTCAGCAGCTAAGCAACCTCATGTTCCTCACCACCTTATAGTTATTACAGTGACAAAAGCTAAGAACGCTTTCTAAAAAGAAGAGTGAAAAGGGCTACATGAGAAGGGCAAGGATCCTTTCTGAACTCCAAAGATAAGTAATTGTACAACAACAACAACATACCCAATATATTCCCAACTTTACCCCTACCTTGTGCCGGTAGAGAGACTGTTTTCGAAAGACCTTCGGCTCAGTTAAGCACGGTAAACAACAGTAAAGAAATGCAATACATAAAAAGAAATAAATTATAGGAAGGATACACACGCTATATCTATAGTCGGTTCAGGTATGATATCGTGATTTTTATAAAAAAAAAAGAAATTGCTTTTCTGAATTAAAGAATGCACTTTGGAACTCCCAAGATAAGTAACTGTACAGGTTCCACAAAATATTACAAAATCAGTTTGGGAGTGTCCAGTGAAAGAAGGATTATCTTTAACCTATGAGAATGGCATGCCGAAACAAAGTGGACTACTTTGCTTTTAGTTGCTCTTGCTGCACGTCTACTTGTGAGGAAATGTTGCAAGTGTAAAATTCAAGATTAGTATATATAATATATAATGTGTGTGTGTGTGTGTGAAAAACAAGAACATCATGTGACACAATTTACGAGAACAAAGACGTCATGTGGCTTTTCTTTCTTTAGCAAGTATATAGAAGCATAACATTTCACCTGGGTCATGGGTTGCTGAGAAGCTCCGCGATCAACTTCTTCTCGTCCTTCGACATAAGCTGCAGCAGGAGGAAGGCAACTAACGTTTAATATACGTAATGCATCAAAATGCTTTGCTTCCATGGAATATATTCAAATATTTTCCTCACCAACATTAACATCAAGGGGAGGCCTTTGATTCAACCAAGGGGAGGGTGGTTGCTGCACAAGTCAAAGCAAACATTTTCAATACCATACTTATCTGGAAACCAAAAATACTTGCAGCAACAGAAAAATGGGAAAGGCCATCAAATCATCCTATTAGAAAAACTAAATGTGGTATGGCAAACATAAATCTTAAAAAACAGATTCATATTTCCTTTGTACAGAATACAACAAGGAGATAGTTAAAATGCCTACCATAAATGGACTAGGTCTCCCTGGACCGCCTTTCATCTCAGTTGCACCACCAGTATCATTCAAAGAAGAGTACTCATTAGGTGTAAAGGGAGTACTGCCACCTGTAGGAATATTATACATTGAGCTGCTATCTGCTGTTCCAGGAAGAGGTGTTTGGGCAGTTCCCGGGAGGGGCGTCTGCGCTGTTCCAGGTAGCGGTGTCTGGGCGGTACCAGGCAACGGAGTCTGCAATGGAGTCTGCAAGAGGAGAATATACATGAGTCAATTTATGAACCCACGAGATGCTTGCTTTTAAATAGCTAGTAAAATCGGTACTCACGGGAGGAAACAGTATATCGGCAGTGGGAGTTTCATACTCCTCAGTGCCTTCATAAGGCACATTAAGGTCATGAACAGGGGTTGTTATTGGACCTGTCCCTTTCGGAGCTGAATTCCTCTCTGTTGTACCCAATATAGCCCCAGCATGCATCATTTTCATCTCCCACAACTGAAAAATTGCCATTAAACTATCAAACTTAAAACCATTAAATTCACCTAATTGGATCCAGAAAAAGACCCAATTACTAATCATATCAACCAACAAAAACCCACTAGAATAGTAACTAATCTGCATTCAGCTAAATTAAAACCCTAGAAACACTGCAAATTTCATAAATCGCGTCATTAATTTGCTAATTAATGAAAAAATCGATTGAAAAAGAAAAGAGAAATTACTCCTTGGAGCTCGTTGAGGATACTCTCTCCGGGACCACCGTTGTTGATGAACTCATCACGGACCTTGCTGATGACATCTTCGATGACGTGGATGTAAACATTGCTCGTAGTCGAACTCGCCATTCCTCCGAATCTAACTTTTATCAGATAAATTGACGGATAAAAATAAATAACGATCTTACGGAGCTAAACCCTAACCGATTGGGGAGAAATTAGGGCCTAGGGTTTTCGAACGCCGGTGAAGGGTTTGAAGTGAACGGAGCGGCGGAGAGAGAGATTGAAAGGATAGGGGAAGAGCGGAAGTGAGAAGGAATAAAAGAGTGGAATATAAATAGGTTTGCATCCGATTAGTTGCGTGATATACACGTGTCGAGATCTGGTAGCTCCGAACTTTTCTGTCTATATTGGGGGAAAATAGAAATTTTAGAAATTGGGAGATTTTTTAAAGACAACGACATGGGTGGAGCAGTTTAAGCGGCCCAGAGCTGCGTCACCGACTCACCCACTAGTATTCCCATTTTGCCATATAGTTATTTTTAGAGGTATTTTTAAAATCACTATTGTTTAGTGGCTATTAACTTCTTATAGCTATCATATACATAATAATTTTTTATATCTATTATTCAATTATTACGATAGTGTATTTACATATATTAGCGCTGTTGTATTCATGAATACAGCCAGTGGCAGACCCAAGTGGTGGCTAGCAGGTTCAACTGAACCCGCTTTACAAAAAAATAATATTGTGTATATGTATAAATTAGGATTAAAAATGTGTAAATTTTGCATAAATATTTTATTTGAACTCACTTGACAACTATTATTTTATGACTAAATTTATATACTTCTAAGATTGAACCCGCTTGCACAAAATCCTGGGTCTGTCACTAAATACAACAGAAAAAACGCCTAAAATCAGGGCATTCCAGCTGTACGCGCATGTATTCACATGTATTCGCGCCATGTATTCATGAATACAGCGCCTAAAATCAGGGCAGTCCAGCTGTACCGCGTGTATTCACATGTATTCGCGTTGCTGTATTTATGAATACAGTTGTACGTGTATGTATTCACATGTATTCGCGCCATGTATTCATGAATACAGTAACGTCAATCCCTTAAAAATAGGTATATCCAGTTGTCTAAGAGAGAGAGAAAACATAACTAGCATATTTCATGCCTTATTTCATGTCTCGATGGTAGTATATACCATAAAATATTTATTTTGCTATAAAATATAAAAGGTAGCTATATAAAATAATATTTTAAAATAATTTTGGTTTATAATAGATAGGGTGTATACCTTTGTTATAGGAGGTAAAATTTTTTTCTTTTTATTTTAGGGGAAAAGCCGGATTTACCCTATATTATAGTATAGGGAAACTTTCAAAAATGACTATCTTTTAAGGAGCTTTTAACAATTTGTAGCTACATTTTATGTGTTTACGTTTCGTAGCTAGTTTTGGACAATTCGTTGTATTTGAGTGTATTTGAATACACTGTTAAGCTATATTTTTTATTTTTTATTTAATTATTTTTTTCGCGCGTATTTGAGTGTATTTGAATACATTGTTCAGTTGTATCCAATCTTATTTGACGTGACAAAGTTGAACATATTGGACTGTATTTGAATGCATTTACACTAAAAAAATAACGAAATGAAGAATACAGTCAAAATCGATCAAATCTCCAGCGAAAATACAAAAGACACTATATTTAAAACGGAAGAATACAATCAAATACATTGTGTATTTTATATTAGCTACGATGGATAAATTAAAAATTCACTGTTGCTATAAAAAATAATTAAATTAAAAGGTGCTATGATCCATTAATAGCTCTTAGATTCAGCTATGGCAGGTAACTTTCGGAAATGACTACCTTTTAAGGAGTTTTTAACAATCTGTAGCTACATTTTATGTATTTACGTTTTGTATCTAGGCAATTCGATGTGTTTGACAATATTTGAATACACTGTTAAGCTGTATTATTATTATTATTATTTGCGTGTATTTGAATACATTATTCAATTGTATCCAACCTTATTTGATGTGATAAGGTTGGAGATATTCGATTGTATTTGAATGTATTTACACTAAAAAATGACGAAATGAAGAATACAGTCAAATTCGATCAAATCTCCAGTGAAAAATACAAAATACACTATATTTAAAAAGGAAGAATCCAATCAAACCCAATCGGATCTCCGGCGATATACAAAATACCACTGTATTTACACTAAAAAAATGAAGAATACATTCAAATTCTTTTAAAAATTAACTGTATTTAACTAAAAATAAAGAATACAGTCAAATTTCCAGCGAGAATACAAAATATACTGTATTTAAAAATAGAGAATAAAATCAAACCCAGTCGGATCTTCGTGAAAATCCAAAATACACTTTAGATCTCTGACGAAAAAATAAAATACATTGTATTTATACAACGATTTTCCAACGTGAAAGGCAGTGGAGAAGAAAGAGGCGGCTTCTTTTTTCTGGCATGAAAAGTAGTGGTAGAGGAATAAGTCTCAGGTAAGACGAATACACTCATATGTGAGATACAAAAAAGGAGAAGAAGTCATGGATTCCGGCATCTCTTTTAGATCTAGATTCGGTGACGCCTCAGATCTTCCTCCTCCATTGTTTTCGCCACCGGTAATGGATTGATCGCAACTTCATGATTTCAGATTTGGATCTGACGGTGGGCGGCGACGGTGTTTAAGGATAATTCGCAATGAAGGGAGTATACAGCGGAAGGTGGTAATGTGTGGAGAAGAGAGAAAGAGGCAGTTGTTTAGTTGGGCTTCGTAGAACTCCGCCGAAGAAGACCGTCGGCGGTGACTTCTCTGCTGTCGAGGGAGAAGAGAGGGAAAAAGAGAGAGAGAGTTGAGGGAGAAGAGAGAAAGAGGATTGAGAGAGAAAATTATACAGCGGAATAACTCTGTATATTTGGTATTAGGTATGATGGGTAAATTAAAAATTCATTGTAACTATAAAAAATAATTAAATTAAAAGGTAATTATGATACATTAATAGCTCTTAACGGGCAACATCCCTTATGTTTGGAGAACTTTACCAAAAACATCGCTTTGTTACGTGAACTTTATATTATCTTTCTTTGCTTTCCGCAAGCTCTTTAAAGAACAACTACTGAAATTGTGGAGCCGTGGAGTAATATTAGACTCTTGAAGTTGTTAAGACTATGAGGGTGCTCCAGTTAATCATCTTCTTGAAACCTCAAGAATCCAATTCATTTGAGATACCTAAGTGCGAGAAAAACTCAACCAAAGGTAGTACCAGATTTTATTACTAGGCATTTTCAATTGCTGAATTGCCGATTCTTGACTAAAAAATGGACCCATTTTTTAATATCCTTCTGAGATTGTTGTTGTCCATAGCCTGCGATATCTTGAGATATTTCACTGAAATCATCAAACAAGAATAAAACTTGATTGAGGATTCCAAAAGGAATTGGGCGTTTAGTGCGGCTATAGTAACATATGAAGCTGATAATAGCGGAGTAAAAATATAAAAAACTTAAAGCAAACTAAGGAAATTAGCCTTTCAAACATCCACAAGTACTAGTACTAGGCAATGGAGAGTACTATGGAGCTTGGTTAAATCAGTTACTTTAGTTCTTTGAAGAGCTCATGCGGAATTATTTAAAAGATAAAACAAAGAAGCATTGCACGTGAGAAAGAAAGTTGCGTTAAAAAAGATTGAAAAATATAATTAACATATGGATATTTTTGGTAAATTTTTCCAAGCTTAAAGAATGTTATCTATCAAGTGAGCTTGTATAAGAACGTAATGGAAGTTAGGTGGGTAAAATAATAGTGATGATATTGATAAAAAATATTCACATTTAATTCAATTATACTTTCTTTCGGTCTAAATATGCGCTTACCATTAATAAAGTAAGCAAAATTTCCCCGGCCCTAAGAGTAGCCCATTATGGTACCCAACCCCTCAAATTAATAATTCATATATGTAATTTTAAAGGGTCCCACGAAAAAATAAGACTCATATCTTTAATCCCACAAAATTAATTGACCCACCTCATTAAATCTAGTCTTCCTCATGCTAGCATACCTCCATTGTTGAATAACTATGTTTCACTGGAGGAATCACCTAGTCCTTTAAACGCTTTCATAAGTTTCTTGTTTTCCTTAATTGTTCTCTTTCCTTATCCTTTAATGTTGCAAGGTAGTTGTTCATATCAATAAAGTATTCTTGTGGCATTATTTCCAATCACTTTATTTTAATAACTCCATCTAACCTCAGATTGAGATTCTATAAATGTCTGAGACCTAAGGTAAGTGAAATTCTGTTATAAAATTATTATTTTATAGTTTATTTTGATTTTAATTCTACAATAAAACTTTTTAATGGTTCAAATAATTAATATTCTTTGGATTGTCTTTGACAGATTAGTTCATGTGGTTATTGGATATGAAAAGATGAAATATTTTAGAATAGTAATTTGATTACAATAAGAGATTTAATATTATTTTTGAAAGCGGTTAAAATAAGGGATAAATTAAAGGAAAAATTAGTTGTCATTGGTGCTATACACCAAGCTGAAGTGAATAAAGTCATAAAACTGGAAAAGAAAATTTTAAAAACGAGAATGTTGCTTATGATTTTATGGGCACTTATTGTTGGATCCGTTGCCGCATCGCTGATAAACTGACTTTCTGTAGGATCATCTTGATATGTATTGTTATGTTTATGTTTGTGTAGGAATATGTATGTGCAACATTTGTAGTGATTTCTCATGTGTCTTGATGGTTTGAATATGTAGGTTTATCCTATGTTGAGATTTTGTAGGTGTAATGTATTTACTTTATTTTGAACCTTTTTTATAAGATGATGTTTTAGTCTACCAATAACGTAAGCTATTTTATGTGTGCGCAAGATATCTTGTATCCTCTTTGGCTATGAGTGTAAGTTAATTCTTAAGTGAAAAACTTCACAACTATGGTAAATCTAAAAACAGGACAGCATCTAACAAGAATGAACCTGCAGATTTCAATTAACTAAATAGACAATAAAAAACTAGAAAATCAAAACATTGGCACATAAGCTGGACATTGAATAAACTGAACAATCAGATAACATCTAAAAACTAAAATATTAAAATTTAAAAATAATTTGGACAGTAGTAAATTGAATAACTAGACATTTGTAATTTACCAACAATCACCGACAGTCATAATATACTAATTTTTAACTATCAAATTATATTAATGAAGACAAGCGGATTTCACATTATAATTCCGAAAATTAATACCACCGAGTGATACATGACATCCAACTGTCACCAATCAAACATCCATACAACCAA